TAGTTTATAATTTCCGATTTACTAACTATATTTACCTACTTAATCACACATTCGGTTTATTATCTTTTTTGAAAGACTAGACTTCGTTTGCGTGTTACTTTCAATGACGAATTTCCATACAATCTTTCAGCTCCTTTAAGAACCCTTCCAAAATAACTCCCTAATGTCAACACCATCTTTGTATCAATTTTTTTTACCAAAAGTTTAGGCTCTAATGCTACTAAGTCGAAGTAAATTCAATTGGGATTAACTAAACAAAAACATGAGTGAAAATATGAATTTGTTTCTTTAAAGCTCGATGGCATAGTGGCTAGCGGGTTCGTTCTGCGATGCGGAGTTTAACGAACTTTCGCAATGGCTGACCATAGGATGGATGACCAGAAATTTACAATCTCGAGTTAAAAACCAATCCGCACTTTGCCCACGAAATAGATCATCTCCCAATCCATGTCTAAGGCATGTGCCCAGCGTCCGAATATTAATAGGCTGGATATAATGATGAAGTTGTTTGTTTAAAAAAACAAAATATATATGCCCCAATTCTTTTCTATCTATATTATATTGAATAGATTTAAAAAAGAGGTCGAAACTAATTAAATTTAAAAATAACAAATAAAGCTCAAATGTATAACCCTTGATACCTTATATGTGTAAGGAATTCCGTTAATCCAAGCTTATTGAGTATAAGAAGATTATAGAGGTCTTAAAAATGCCGAACTTATTTTTGAATCAGATACCTATGCTTTTATACGTTATAACGATTACAAATAACCTGCTAATTTTACTAGCTAAAAATCATATCGGGTACTGGTACGCCCAAATAAATGATAAACAATTTTAGAAATTTTAATGATTAACTGTATGTGAAATTACTATATTTTTAAACGAACAAAGAAACACTCATCAGTCCTCATTAATATCGAATTTAAGTGATATAAATTAAGTATGAATCGAAAATACGATCTTCTGTCTGATTTTACAATTACTTTGATATAAAAACGAAACTACTGACCGATCACTATATTAATCTATTAAAACAGTCTCAAACCAGCCCCGAATCTACGATATTTTCCAACCGAGGTAGAGACTTAAATATTTGAGCGCCTTCCTTCACCCTCTTCTAGAGCCCTGCCTGGAATTCGATGTTGAGATCGGCGCCGTGACAGCTGCATTGAAATAATACCTGTATTACTTTTTGGAAGAGGTTCTATTTGATTATACCCCCATGCTGTGACAATACTGCGCTCGACATCAAGCTTGGGGTTGTTTTTATAACAAAATATCACTGCTGAACTTGCTCAAATGGCACCAGATGCCAAACACCATTTTTCTAGATTTTCGAGAATTTCTTCGTATCTATCAAGTGACAAACTCATTGAATTTGAAGATGCATTGGATGCATGGCATTGGAGAATTAAACGATTATCATCGCATACTTTTCTGTTTTCTATTCTTTCTAATAACGACATACTTTTGACAGCGATGTAAGTAGTGCGTTCTACCCGTGACGCGGAAGTTAAGCATCTTTGGCAAGGACCGGCAAGAGGATGAATGACCAAAAATTTATTATCTGTATCTCCGTGTACTATAAGGCACGTTGAGCCATTGACGACGGCTGCAATTACAATTGTCAACAACCTCTTATACGTTGGGTCCTTTATCCCTATTTGACAGCAATCAGCTGATTATCATCATCGTTATCACGATGCCTATGAATATTAGTTTCGATTTTATTCAATATAATAACAGCATATTTATACAGCAAATCAATATCTTCAGCACTGACTGAACCTTACTTCTGAATGTTTTATAAGTTGAAGAACTCAGAATTACAATATTGAATAAAACCACTGATATTAAAACAGTTTCAAATACTGAATCGAGAACAAAATTGTATTTCGTTATTTAGCAGAATGCTTAGTTAATTTACGATAAAAACAAAACTATTAGGTAATGCGATTTCGACAAAAGGGACCACAAAATTATTTTATAAAAAAATATAACCTATAAAATACTAATACTTTTCGATTTTGAAGAACTGTGACGATAATGCCGCACTACAAAACTAAGTGATGATAAATAACAAAAACCCTATGGAAACATGTGTTATTTAAATTAAAAAAAAATGTAAATACTTTGTAAGTGAACTCATTAACTCGCACGTTTCTCAAAAGGCGAGAGCGAACCTAAGTAAAGACCTGTAATTGCTCGCGACAAATTTATCTGCCCTAGCACACCTACACAGTAATTGATAAAGCAAATGATTCATTACAAATTCATTAGCTCGTAACAGTCATAATAACATAATATACCGCCTCGGCCACGAAGCGGCCGCATTCCTTTCGATAGCACACCGAGTAAGTAAATATGAGTATCTGAGTTATGTTACCGTAGTAATATTTGTGCTCTTGACTACGTAAATTGTAAAATACTGAAGATTTCTGCGTACCACGTGACTTATTTTAGTTTAAACCATTATCCGATCAAAAAAAGTCAACTTGTTCTCTTGTATCATTGTCAATTTACTTTAGTCAGCCCATGTTTCAAACCAAATTAGTACATGCTAACGTTAGTCCTCGTTTTATAATAATACGGATAGGGACAAATAATGGCGACTTGCTCGTCAAAAAGTATTTTTAATTAAATATAACTAAGTACTTTATGAAATGAATATAAGAAGCTATTTTACTAATCTTTAATTCTTATTTGGTAATTATATCTCTGTACAAAGCCAATGGAAACTTGTGATATAGGGTCCTACACGCATTTTAAGTTCTAAGCTAATGAACGAATTATCGAAAGTATCGATACCATTGACGAAAATGTGGTCGTATCCGTGAAAGTATCCCGTAACAAAATTCTGTTACCCTAACAAGAAAACAATGATTTATATATATAATTTATGAAATGTACCTTTCTACACATGCCTTATGTTTAAATAGTAATATAAAAACTTAACTTAAGCCCCACGCGCCATTGACAGAGGAGCCCAAAAACATATACAGTAGTCTACAATACTACACCTCAATATTTAACTCATCAACATTGTCGATATAAAACCACATTGTATATACAACATATCTGAAATGAGTGCTCTCTTGTAATAGCATCTCTTATATTTACAATGGTACGTACTGAATCCAAAACTGCTGTTATGTGAATATTTTCTTTCAAAGAAAAAAGCCTTAAATTATTGGGTATAGTATCGCACCGCGGCGGCCTTCTGATCATCTAATTTCAGATTATGTTGCATATACTATTGAGGGAGGTTACAATAAGTTATCTGAAGTTTTTAATATGGTTTAGTCACAGTACGAAGCTCTATGTTATTAGCATTTTTAAGTCACAGAAGAAAAACAGTAAAAATCGTACAACTTTAGACGATAATTAATTATTTTATTATAAAACTTGAAATTTTGCTAACATGAAATATATTATATACTAACTTTCGCCAGCGGCTTCGCCCGTGTGGTCCCTAGGAAAATGTGGGATAAAAAGTCCTATTATCTAAGTCAGCAAATAAAATTTCATCAAAATCCGTTCAGTAGTCTCGGCGTGACTGACAGACAAACATCCAAGCAAAGAAACTTTCACATTTATAATATTAGTAGGATATACGTAAAATAAAAAAAATTCACAAAATGCCTAATAACATGTTTAATTGATAAAAAAAAATGTTTTTTTGAAAATATTGAGCACATCTCTTAAATAATCGAAAATAAAACTTGTTCTACAAAGTAAAATTGTTCGGAACCCTACATTGGGCCTACATTACTTGGACCTACACTTTGCTCTGTTAGATTTTTTTAGTTTTAATGTCATAAATTAGTAAGGTATGTACTAATTATATTAACGATTATGAACGAAAACAAACTGATTCCATTACATACCTTTGTCATCCACAATCAAACGTTTACTCACTGGAATGCGGAAATGATTATTATTTCAATCTTACTCATTTATTTCTATTGTTTATCTCACCCAATTGCATATCATTATAGCGTCTCTATCTTATACCTCATATCTTACCCTCCAATCCGCATTGGGCCAGCGTGGAGGGTCATGGCCCATTCTCCTTAACCATCAATAAGGAAGGCCTGAGCCCCTGCAGTGGGGACGTAAAAGGGATGGTATGATGATGATGATAGTGTCTCTGTTCAATAGGTCTTTGATACGAAAATCCATCTAACCCCAAAATTTAAAAAAGGTGATTTAATTTTATCTAGGCTATCACAATAATGTCAAATTTTCCAAATTGATAATTTTCAAACAACTTCTGAAAATCTAGATCGGTTTTGTTGTTTATTATTTCAATAAGTTATTTACTTAAATAGAGAGAAAACTTATTTTATTTAAATTAATTTATTTTGAGTATTATACGAAGCCAATTATAAACATATTATACTTACACGAGTTTGCATCATCTGTAGTTCATTGAATAATTACCTACCTACTGAATAGTAATTTGAAAGTTTTACTTTCTAGTAAAAAAATATATAAATAAAATGCACCTAATAGAAAAACGCATGCCAGTGATTCTCATACATAACGACAAGAATCATTTGCTCTTATGCCTGCCATAGAAAATGTAATTTTGAAACGCATATTTAAGTATCTACGTAGGCAGGTAAGTTAGCAAGCGATGACGTGAATGTGATAAATAAAACTCAAACACATCGTGACAGAATTACGCAATCGGTTGTTTTGCAATTTCATCAATGTGATCAGGTTTAAGAAACCTGAAATGATTATTTCGTTGTTCCTGAAATTAAAAATTACATTATGTACAATCACAAAATACATTTATGTAAATCAACAGTGGTTATCAAAAGAGTTACGGCACTGTTTGAATATTTTAATTTGTGGTGGATGGGGACATAGCGCGTCTCCCCAGATTCCGTACCTTATCGTCCAAGTTGTCAACTCTTTGAGTGTCAAACGTGGTGGCGAGATGTCGAAGGCAGAAGGCAACGACGGCCTTAGGTATGCGAGGACGCAAGATGCGGCCGGCGTCGGGGGAGGGGCGTTCGGCATCTGAAGGTCGTCCGCATTCCTCGCGTCGCCGTCCGCTGCTACCGCGCTTACGTAGCGCCCCCCGCACCGCCGCCGTCGTTGCGCCCGCGCCGACCGGTCTGCCCCCGCCCCTCTACACCGACCGCCATCACAAACTATCGCGCATTTACTAAAACAAAAAACATGTTCATAAGGCTATCAAGAGCTGAAGAGCCGCAGAGGTACCGGATGGGATGAAATTTATTCGCGTCTAGTTTTTTAGAACTTGATCTTGTGGTTCTACATTCCAATAAGTAAACGTTTTATAATAAGTACCTACCTATCTTACTGATCATGTCGGAGTAATTGCGTTGATCACATTAGCTAAACCGCGGCAACATTAAAAATATAACTAGTAAAATGCTATCATGAATCTCTTAAAAATGAATTTAATTATATTATGAACTACCTATTTATTAGTACATAACTTATTTCTTGTGATTTACCATTAAGTTTTAACAAGCTATTATGAGGCAAAATCTTTTCAATTTCGAAAATAAGAATACATATATGGGTGTATATGCGTGTATTTTCATTTTTTTTTTTCAATATGGACTTGTTCCGTTATATACGGAAATTTTCATTCGTGTATTAATTTCGACAATGACATTTGCCTGTCAAATATATTAAGTAATCTATAGCGTACCGCACCATCGAGTCATAACTAATTAAATAAAATGTACATGCGTAAAATAACAATGTGAGCCTTTTAAAGGCAGCAGGTAGCAAAAGGCGATTGTGTACAAAAAAACAACTATGGAATGCACAGATGGCGCAGATCCCACATTCCTGCGCCATGCGACCGCCTTTCAATAGGCCCATATTCTTTACGCGGATGTGAACCTACACGATGTACCAAAATTACTGCCAAATTTCGAAAAGTCGATAAAAGTAATAAACATTCCTAGAAAAAAATATTTTGAAATAATTCAACCGCTTACGGCTCTTCAGTTATTTTACCAGTATTTATAAAAATATCTTTATACATATATTATAGACAATGATTTAAAAAAAAGTGTACAATTAGACATACCTATATTATTTATATATTTTTTATTGCAATGTTCCCTATTTCGAAATCGCTTGTAAATACAGGCGCCAGTTAATGTATAGAATCGGCCTAATTGTTTATGGAATCGATTTATATTTCAGATTCTTTTAAAAATAGAAAAGACGCCAATTTTCATAATTTTTAGTTGTCGACCTGTGTGATGGTGTAGTAAAACAAATGAAACTTTATGTTGTTTTGACAGTAATGGTTTCTTTATTTCCGGTTATGATCGTAGGTAACTTAGTTTTAACAAAAATGTTAGTCGAAAATTAATGTTATTTAGATTCTACTGAAATAAAAAGCCGAAAAAAACGATATACACACAGAAGCACTTCAGCTTTAAGAGTCGGGGGTCACTCTTCCGCACGGCGAGCCTTGATGCGATCATGGCAACATAGCTGTTTTATGAGCCTGACGAGAGGCGACAGACAAACGACGCCAATCAACTTACAAACACAATATGTAAACATAGCAGTAATATTTTATGTTACTAATACGCATAAACTGTGGTAATAAGTTAGTACTTTGACGAACTGGCGCCAAGTTGAAAGTATGAAATAAAAAATAAAAAAAAAATAAAAGTTCGTGGTGATCCTTCAGCAAACCACAGTAATTATCATTTAAGTTACTTTTTTTAATTTTCCACATTTATAAAACCCTATCAAACAAAATCCAGCCATTCGAAACGCCGTCACCTTCGATACCATTTGATGAATACTTCACGGTTCTTCAGTGAAGCTCTAGATTGAATTGTTGGACATCGCGGAAGCTAGATATAAGCTAGATGATTTTATGAATATTGAAAATTAGAATAACATTACAGTACAAAAGTAACTTATATTCTGGAAACACAGTAAAAACCGTAATAATATTTTTGTTGCAGAGCGAGTAACAGTTGTATCGAGATGCGACATGCGTGCTCTGTGTTCGGTTCGAGGGCCGCTCGGCGGGGAAACGCGCGCGCTCGGTGCGGGCGCGCGGCTTCTTTCGCTGCGTATGCCCGGCCAGCCTCAGCCGCTGCACTTCGTCGTCGAAGCCAAGGCACGAGTCAAAGAATTGAAATCATTAGTCAGCACACATGCTCAACTACAAGGCATGATCGACACGGACCTATTCGGACTAGCTGTTTTACAAAGTGAGTGTGTTTCTGTATTCCAAGTATGCTTTGAAAAGACATATTTGTCATCATAACCATCATCATCAACCCTTTTACGTTCATCATCATCATCATCATCCTCAGCCCATATTCGTCCACTGCTGGACATAGGCCTCCCCAATTGCACGCCATCTTCTTCGATTCTCGGCTGTTCGCATCCAGCTCCTGCCAGCCATCTTGCGCAAATCATCGCTCCACCGCGCCTGAGGACGTCCTACACTACGTTTGCCGAGACGCGGTCTCCACTCAAGAACTCGTTTACCCCAACGGTTATCGGTTCTGCGGCTAATATGGCCAGCCCACTGCCACTACAGCTTGCTAATCCGGTGGGCTATGTCGATAACCTTGGTTCTCTGCCGGATCACCTCATTTTTGTTTCGATCCCGCAGAGAAACGCCGAGCATAGCCCTTTCCATAGCCCGCTGAGCGACCTTCATGTTGTGGACCAGCCGTGCCGTCAGTGTCCACGTTTCGGCTCCGTATGTCATAACGGGTAGGACGCACTGATTAAAGACTTTCGTCTTTAGGCACTGCGGGATCAACGATGTGAAGACCCGACGTAGTTTCCCAAACGCTGCCAAACCTAGCCGAAGTCTTCCATTTACCTCGCTTCCATTTACCTTTTACGTCCCCACTGCAAGAACTCAGGCCTTCCATATGGATGGTCAAGGAGGGTGGACCATGACCCTCCACGCTGGCACAATTCGGATTAGAGGGTATTAACGACTGATAATACATTCGGAACCATAGGTTTAACGTGCCTTCCGAAGCACGGAAAAGATCGAAATGATAATTTTTTGGTCACCGCTACTTTATCCACTCCTACTCATGTTTCTATCTGCTAACAATCAAAGCTGTCCCCAAATAAGGTATTATATAGTACTTTCTTCACGTGAACCTTAGATTACCCAGTTGAATTGTCCGAAGTTCATACATTTTCGTGAAATTCAGACACTCCAATTCTCTTTACAAAAACTAACAATACATTGAGTGGTATCTACAAGCAACCTTTGTAATAATATTGAGTAATTAGTACAAGTTGACGATAAAAGACCTATACCGGTGAACATTCAACTTCTCAATAACCTATTATGACTATAGTATGAATGCATTGCAATAATTAATTAAATAATGGTAACCCTTTCTTCTACTCTTATGTCTCTTATAGGTTTGTGTTTTTATAATTATTAATTTAAAATTATAAATAGATCTATTTCTTTTACAGATGGAGAATACTTATTTGTTGACCTAGAAAGTAAACTATCAAAATATGCACCAAAAAGTTGGAGGTCTTCACATACTCATGTAAGTATAAAACTAAAAAAAAATCTTTATATAATTTTTCCACTAACAAGTAGAACTAGACTCGGTAATATATTTCTTTTAACTAACTTCGCCTTACCTTAACATATAAATAAGAAACACCAAAGAAAGCCTTTCTCTCCTATGCCACAAGTTACTCACTTTCTTTGAACCGTGAACATAATGTTTTAAGTAGAGATGAAACGGATATCCGGTTACAATTCGGTATCCGGCCAAACCGGCCTTTTTTTACTATCCCACCGAATACCGGATAGGATGCCAATATCCGACCGGCTACAGGATAGTATAAACATAAATCAAACATGTGGTGAATGAATTCCTAACTTTCTGCTTTTGTTGGCAAGAGGCGACTCCGCTTTGCTTCATATACCCGGCCAGCTTCAGGGAATTCCAATTTTAAGTATTTGTCCGAGTTAATGTTGGCAGTTTTATCTTTGCCACAATCGAATTTTGAATGCGAAAGAGTTTTTACCAAAGTAAATGACATAAATACTAAAAGACGTAATTAACTCTTTAAGAGATCGATTAAAGCAATTTTTTTAGCGCAACAGGCCATACAGCGTCACAGAATAAATTGTATTGTTTTTGTTCCTATCAATACAATGTTTCAAAAGTATTAAATAAATATGTATAAAAACACCGAAATAATTATACTGTCCTAAAAATAATAATGTGGTTTTTTCTGCTCTGACCCAAAACGTATTGCTAAATATTCGAGGTATTTCTACCGTATTCCAAATTAAAAATACTCCATTTTTTTGAAAAAAAAAAAGATGTCTATCATTCGCTAGATTTCAGAGTTGGTAACACTGCTTATACTTGACACGCTATAGATTCAAATCAAACTGATCAGGTCCTGCAATGCGATAAAGGCCGAATATCCGGTATCCGGTGTCAGGCCAAACCACTATTCGTTACATCTCTAACTTTAACTGAGTAGGTAATATTCAATATGAACAAATATAACTTTTACCATCAATCTAAGTTAAATCATCAAAAATATTTAACATCTTAACATTTACTAATCATTTGTTTCAGGGTTTGGATGCAAATGGAAAACCTCTCCTAGAGTTACATCTAGTGATTCAGTTCCATGTAGAGAGTCCATTGCTTTTACACGATGATATCGGGCGGCATTTATACTTCTTACAACTACGTCACAATGTTAAATCACGTGACGCGTTACCTGCGGAAGCCGTTCTCCTGCTAACAGGCCTAGCTTTACAAGCAGAATATGGAGATGCCGACAACTATGAAGATCGTGATTATTTTAAGGTGGAAGATTATGCTCCATTATCCCTCACGGGTGATTGGGTCGCTGCCGCTATGCGGGGATGTCATCGCGAGCATCGTGGTCTTTCAAAAACTGATGCTGAAACGAGATTCATACGAGAAGTATGTTTACTACCCGACACGATAAACTCGCACCGTTATCGACTAAAGCAATCTAAATCGGAACCAGAACCAGGAACAGTATGGTTGCTTATTACTGCAAAAGGCATTAAAGTTCTTCCGGACAATGGTATATTTTCAAATTTTATATGGAGTTCCATTGGTAAACTAAGCTTCGATAGAAAAAAATTTGAAATAAGAACTGAAGACGGCAAAGTGACACTGTATTCCAATAACGAGGAGAAATGTAAATATTTATTCGCATTATGCAAGGAAACTCACCAGTTCTCAATGAAGATTGCACCAAAACTCAATGAAATCATTAGAAATGAAGAAGAAGAGCGTAAAGCTTGTTATGGTTACTCAAAATCGCTAAACATACAGTACAATCAAAACAAAAATGAACAAAGAATATCAGTAATTTCATCAACTAGTTCAAATACCACTTCTGGTATCGTAAGTGACAGGGTTCAATCTGAAGATGAGTTAGAGATTATGATAGATTCACCGCCAGCACCGTCAACAGAAAGTCTAGCTTTTGCACATTTACTAGATAGTTCAAATTCTTATTTTATTCGTCACATTCCTCAGGGCAATGAACCCTTAAATAAAACCTCGTCCTTACAGATACACAAAGCAAAAGGACGAACAAAAAAAACAAAAGATGACCTTGAAAATACAATTAGCAAAATCGATACACTCTCAGTAGATATAAGTGAAAACTCTTCAAATAATTTAGAAGACAGTGCTTCATTACCTGATCAAAATCAAACTGAAAGCGACAGTCCAGTTTCAAACAAGCTTAAATGTACTGGATCGCAATGTTCTTCATCTTGTAGTACAGTTATAATGACTCGAGCTACTCTTAGTACATTAAGTAGGGTATCTAACACAAGCAGTTTAGAATTAGGTTACAGCCACACTGCACAAAACTCTATGATAAGCGATAATAGTACTGTCGATATTGATGCAGAATATACTCAAGACACCGCTTCAGCGCTGTACGATGGCTTAGGTCAACCCGTTACTGTGGCTGCTTCAAGCGAAACAAGTGGTGTCTATACAATGGGCAGTTCAGAACTCACAGCCCGATCAAAGTTGGATACACTTTCAGAAGGAAGTAGAACCGAGTACTCACACTATGATAGTTATAAAATCTCTAAAGATAATGATCTAGCAGACTTTGATAGCGTTTCATCAATTCTAAAAAATAAATCAGAAAGATCTAGTCATTCAAATAATACATTGAGATTACGGAAAACTTTACCTAACAGTGATTGCGTTGATGGTGCAACAAACTTTTCAAGTCAAGAACATAGTGATAACTTGTTTAGAGAACGAACCAATTCTAATGTCAGTGCAGCCTCATTTCATGGTGACGGCAGTGACCCTACTGATAATAAACATAACCTACTAACAGCTAGCGAGTTAAGTGATTTAATTGTAGGTCGTGGCGTTTATCCTAGAAGTCAATCAGTCAGTGATACCCTAGATTCGGTTTCAGACTATGTCAGACTACCATTGCCTTTCTCTGGTGATAGTTATCTCCAAGGGCATGAAGACACTGCTCCATCTGACGATAACTATCCAAATAATAGTTTCTTTGATCGGCCTCCAACACCACCAGCGAGGACAGACAGCCGAAAACTATTAAATCTATCTCTACCTAATATTTTAGGTTTAGATGATAATACACCCGTTAGATCGTCTTTTCCTAACAAACCACCTCCTCCATATGAATATAATCATAAGACACTAGCCACATACACTCAAGCCCCTTTAAAAGCTCCACCTGCTTATCCTGGTACATCATTATCTTCAATGTCTATTAAACAAGCGGTCGAAAAAGAAGAAGTTGCAGCTAGAGTTGTTACTTCGAAACCCATGATTACAATTTTAAAAGCAGAGGCAGGAGAAGTAAATGCGTCAAGTGAAAGAACATTTGCTAGTCCAATGGTAATAGAACATAGATTCCAGAAATCTAAACGTCATCAAGCTTCTAGTCGCAGAGTAGAACGGTCGAAATTGGTGCAAGGAATAAATAATCTCTCTCCATCTAGAGAAATGCCGCAACATAGTGTAGATACAAATGTGCTAGTAGCAATGATGAAACTACCTCCACCTCCCCCGCCTCCGAGAAGAACTCGACTACCACCTCCGCCGCCAGTTTCTCGGCTACCGCCACCACCACCGCCACAGAACCCCATGTTCCATCAACAATTATATAGTGACGTTGATTATGTTTACTATCCCATGCAAGATCCTGCAATTTCACAACAAAATTATCTTGATCACAAATTGACAGAAACACGACTGACAAATATGCACAAATCCAGTCTGCAATATCGCAGTACACCCTACATATCAATGTCTATGTCAGCAACATCTATGTACGGATCTATACAAAATCTTTCCGACTCGTACGTACAGTTACCAGGAGCACGTACCAGTTGGTACTCATTAAATAGTAGAACGTCGCTCAGCAATCATTCTATTAACATAGAAAGACCACCAATACCAATACGCCGAACTGATTTCTCAAACTTTTCGCGGGCTAAGTCCGATGAAAATATATTAAACACTAAAGAGCCACCACCAATCAAAATGCGACGCATGCCCCCACCGCCACCGCCACCCTATGAACATAAGAAAATACTTCCCACACATTTAAAAGAAACCCCCATAAATAAAAGCAACATTAGTGAGTCTACCATAAGTAAAACGAGAGATGCAAATTGTGATTTAGATATTAAAACGTTAAGGGAAAAAAGCAAGAATCTTGACTTGCCCCTTATAGCAGCTTTGTGTAATGACCGATCGTTGTTGAAGCAAACTAAGGCTTTTGGTGCTCCTAAATTAAGTAAACAATCAACTAGTGAAAGTGAACATAAATGTGCCAAGCCCGTGCAAACCACCACCGACACGTTAGATCATAAGAAACAAGAAAGTAATGTGAAAAAAGTATCTACAGGGTCTCAGAAAAAGTTAATAGTTAGAAATCCTACAGACAAACTTCCAGCATTACCAAGTTCTGCGAGTCATACACCTAGAGCTATGTCTAATACCTATGTTATGCATCCGAGTGTTATTAAATTAAAGAAAACGCAACCAAGCTCATGACACATGGTCCAATTTAAATCACAATTTGTGAATACTTCCAGTGGTAAGATTCATTCATCCACCGATTTTTAGCCATAATAAAGACTGAATTGCTATTTTTTCGAACAATTTCAAGGTGGGTTTACGTTTTTACTTAAGACTTTTTATAAATATATTCTTTGCTATAAAGACGCTATTAATGTGAACGCATCTCGAAATTGCACGTTAACTACTAACCGATTACCTATTATTATAATGCTATAAATTAGACCGATCACGTTAGGATTGTCAAACAATTATTCAGATGTTTTCCATTGATTTTAACAGGGTAATTTATGTTAAGTCGTTAATAAATTATTTGAATCACCCACGTTTTTATATTATCAACCATTATATTGGTTGCTTAATAAATTTGGCAATACATAGAAACTAAATCATGTTTGTTGTTGTCTATCTTAAGTTCTGTGTTGGAATTTGTTACCTAATGTAATGACTATAATTTGCGGTGAGTGTTTCTGTTTACTATAACATCACAAACTGACAACACAATTTAAATAGAAGTCAAACAAGTATTACACATAATATTATAACAATTATAATAGTTGTTAAATAATTTATAATAATATCTACATAATAACAATAATAACTGAATCTATTTGTTACTTAAACGTCATTGGATTAAGCGGGTCATCAGTTGAAGACTGTAAATATTATTTGAAATTTTGCTTCAATTGAAAATCTATTAGATATTAAGGTTTTAGAGTAACATTACCTACTCAGGTGACTTCTTTTTATAGATGAGTTGGATAGTCGTTACACCTTTGACTTGGTTCTCATACTTATTGTGTCATACATCAAAAGCTAAGAAAGCGACTTAATGATAATGATATAATTTAAATTAAAACTACTACATACTTATGCGTCTTTAGGTTACGGACTTCAATAACTATGTGTACCAAAATTTCCAGGTTCAGCAGTTTCGGAGGAAAACGGCTGTGACTGACAGATAGAATGAAAGACACCCGAGTGATTATCATTCTATATGTCAGTCACAGTGAAGGGTTCCGTGTTTAATTTTTGGAGCCTAAAACGAATATATTTACTACTTGTTATACTTGCTCTTTGTGTTGAACAAGAGTAGGAACCAGTCATGGTCTGCTCTGGTAATATGTATTAAAATTTTCGGTTATAGGATTGCATTACCAAGTCTAAGTTAGGACAACTATCCAACCAATACCTTTTTATGTGGAAACGAATATTTTTCGTGCCATATCAATTTAAAGGCAAGCCGTATGTTTCTAAACTTGGCTTTGGATTAGAGGTGGACTACTTAAATCAAAGGTGCAACCAACATCACATCAATCTATCCAAATTGGTTAAATTTCTCCAATGCGGAAACTACAAAAAGATGGCAATATTATATCAATACATTTCTGTCAATTTTTAACTCTACATGATGGCGTCAAAATGGACCAAAGATAATATTTTCGTTCCTTTAAATGTTAAATAGTTAAAATTTTCTGCCTAATATTAGATAATTAGAGTTAGTTCTTTACAAGTGAAAAACGGAAACACGAAAAACTAGATGATGACCAGCCCTGCGATTCTGTAAAACTTCAAACCCGAATTCGAATCCACTCAGGTGTCCGAATTCACTTCAAAAACCGGCATCCGCTCAAACTTGAATTGGTAATAACGTTTCGTGGCATAAGTGAAGTGATTTTTGAAATGATATTGAATAAAAATATCTAAGACACGTTTAATCAATCAATTTTGTTTAGTTTTTTCATGCAAAAAATGGTTTCTGTACTAAATGTACTAATGTACTAAACTCTGGTGTGAATTCGGACACATGAGTGAATTCGAATTCGGGTCTGGATTTTTACAGAATCGCAGGGCTGTTTATTAAACTTCGAAATTTAATTTACACACATCAGAAAGAAAATCAGAATGTTTATCATAGACAGTTTGATTCAATACTAAAAATGTTTCAAAGTATAGTATCGTGTACTGTTTTTTAAATACCTCCTCATTGATTTGAAACTTTATTGTAAAGTAGTAGAGTTAAAAATGTATTTTGGGAATTTAACATTATTTGGTATGCTGTTGTGCTGTTGCAGGTATATTAGTTTTTGTTCTTATTAATTATTCACGATAGGTATACGACCTTACAAAATGTAACAATAAATGCGAAACTGCCTCTAGTCCCACTTTCATATTTCAGGTACATTACACTTCAAAGTATTGTTACCAAACTATAAGTCATATTATTGATGTACATATTTCAAATGTGGGTAGTGAATATAAAAATATATAAACATTTATAAAGACTGAACAATCATTTACTATTTCTATTTATAGTTTTTCCATGGTTTAACTGCGTCATTCAACTGGTATTTTTTTGTAGCAACAAGCTGTAGTAAGCAGTAGATTCTCTAATTGTTCACGCCACTCCACTAGCACAAATTGCTCCACAATTTGGAAAGCTGATTCTAATAGAGATTCTGCCTCACCTGAGATGAGGCCTGAATCTACGATTTTTTTACTGGGGCAGTAATATGAAATAGGGCGCCCTTTCTCTCCCCCTCACCCTTTCCCTACTCTCCATGAGGCCGGATTATATTACCATATTTTTTTCTTCTCTTTCATTTAGGATTTTCATTCCATCGCAATAAGTCCGTCCCATCGTACCCTTTAATGTGTATGAAAAGTTTTGTGAAGTTCTTTTTAAACTTAAATTGGTAATATATAACTAGCTTTCCGCAAGCGGCTTCGCCCGTGTGGTCTTATATTATACATAAAAACCTTCCTTTTGAATCACCATATCTATGAAAAAAAACCGCATCAAAATCCATTACGTAGTTTTAAAGATTTAAGCATACATAGGGGATATAGGGACAGAGAAAGCGACTTTGTTTTATACTATGTAGTGATGACAATTTAGGCGCCGCGCCTGGTGCTAATGCCCCCACTAGCACCCCCTTGATCCGACCCTGCCTGACATAAAATGCAATTAAACCTTGGACCAACAATGCTTCTTTTTATCTAAAATTATGATGATTACGTATTATACAAACAAATGTGTAAAGAGAGATATTTTGTTGCTTTTGAATTTTCTGCCTTTAATTGATACTAAATTCACATAAAATCCTGTATTTTGTAATTATTTGTCTTAAAATACAAAATTCACTATTAAATAGTGAGAGTAATAAAGTAATGGATAATACTCGCCAATATAAAAAATACCTGATATTAATAGTTATTAAGAAAAATTTTAATAAATAAGTTTAATATTGATAAGTTTGGATTTGTCATTAGGAGAAATAAATTTAAAAAAATATGTCAACAACTATTTATTTAACTGTTATCAATTCATAGCTTGTAATATAACAATGTCTCATATAATTACATACTAAGTACACAATTATGTTTTTCAAATGTTGTACAAATGTATATTTTTGTAAATAAATTTATTCTAAAAGTACATTTGATGTCTCATTAAAAATAATCTTTGGCTAAAATGAGATAAATAATTACGAATAGTTCAATAGGTAAAATTAATAATACTACACTTAAAAACAATATAAAGACACGTAACGTAACCAACAGTTTTTTTTTAATAGAAAGAAAAAGTTACAATCAAAAAGTTTACAGCTTTTAAAAATATTCAGATACCTATTTATAATTTCTTTTTCAGCTTCCTGTATATTTAACGATTTTTTTTTAGAATTAGTTTTTTTTTTGTTGTTTAAGTACTTATCTTGCTATAATACCATTTAATAAACTACATATACGAGTATATTACTTTCATAAGTATAACAAAATTGAGATAGTAAAGGGAACTCTATTTTTCTAATTTAAGAACTATAGCTGAATTGGGTGGAAATGTTACTTGATCAAAGTATATCACTTGTCCTATTAATGAAGTATTTGTTCCGGCTACTACGGTCCCACCATAAAACATAGAAGACAAATCAGTTGTTATCGATCGACTACCAAGGTTTCCGACAAACACGCACGTATTTCTACGAGGATACCAACGCTCAATCACTACTAAATTTTCTTCAGTTTTACGGATTTCCATATTCTTCAACATATTACCTTCTTTGTAAATAGCTCTCAGGTATATCGTTGGAGTGTTTAATCTGACTTTGATTAACATCTTTATTACTTCGAGGAAATTATATTTCGGATATAGAATCGACTCAGAGTTCCAAGGCAATATGATATTATTCTCGTTATCATTATTAGCAAACTTCATTGGGACTAAATTGTGAACATCTTTATGTTCATGAAAGTCTACTTCTATGCTATCACTGGATAGTCCGCCTAACCCTATTTCGTCACCGTAAAAAATACTAACAGTACCAGGTAAGACTAATTCAAGTGCAGTAAGAGCCAAAGTGTTGTTCACATGCTTGGAAGATATCCTCTCACTCCCGATGTTACCAATATTCCAATGAACCCAAGGGTAATGTGGCTTAGACCAAAGGGTGCCTGTGATAACTTTATCGATACGATTTTTGAGACTATTGATGCCCTCGTTCATATTTAAGTGAATATCAATCAAGTCAATCCTCGAAAGCAACACATTTAGAGATTCACTTTTGGCCATTTCGTAAGTTTGTTCGCTTGCGATAAAAATTCTATCGTTACCTATCAAATGTTTCCAAAACTGTAATGTTTTCCCAAAATTAATATCGTCAACAAAATTTTCTAAGTTCTTTAAATAAAAGCCGTCTACTTTTTGTTTATGAGCCCAAAATGCCAGAGCCAGAGACGTTGAATCGAAATCGTTAACTATAGGTTTACTGCTCAATAACATCTCAAGCGTTGAATTAGAAAATGCGAATGAATTTGCCAAAGATGAAACGGGTATATCGAGGATAATCGACATATTTCGACTATGTAACATTTGCACCAAGTCTTCAAAATCTTTAAGAACACCTATGCTTCTTGCAACTTGAAATAAAGATGATACATTATAATACTGAACTGGATAATTTTCAGCTTTAAATATA